TAGAATCTATTGATTGAATGTGAACAAACTAAAAGAATATACATAACTAAAATTGTACATGTTATATGAAGTATGTTATATAGATTATAACAAACTGATATAAGTAAATATGTTGGCATTTTATGTTAGTTAAATGATAGTACTTTGCAATTATAGATAAATAAGTAAATTGCTATATTTTTGTTGATCACTTCAAGTAGTAGGTTGTTATAAGTATTATTCTATATATATATATATATATATATATATATATATATATATATATATATATATATATATATATATATATATATCCAATAAGTTCCACATAAACAACAATATATGAAAAACCATTAAGTTTAACAGAATCATAAAAGTTAAAAACTTGTGGTTGCTTCTAAAAATCAATGAGTTCCACAAAACGCTAAAGTCAAAAATTTGTTCTGGCATTCTACTTGAAGTAACATAGGATTAATTTTATATGGATCCTAGTAACATACAATACACATAACCAGATTCAAGAATCAATATAGATAGTAATTGTTGATTATTTTCATTTGGATACTCTCACATTTGTATCAACATGTGTATGTAGTAGAACCTATGCCAAACTTTCAAAAAGCAACTAAGTATATGTTGATAACTCTTTTCCCAAAAAAGCAACACAATTTGAACATTTCTTACATTTAACTCAAAAAATAGCAACATATTATGTTTATATCTTGTAATTAACTAAGAAAAAACTCAAAAAATATTTCGGTAAGAAACATTGAGGTAATCCAAATTAGAAACCTACTATTGAAGAAACATAATCACGTTCCCTCTTCTAGAGTCCGATTATGAATTTAATTATTTTTATCAAGATCTTCCTGTTTGGGTTTAGTAGAAAATTTTGGTCCAAGATTCCTTATAGCCATCCTGTAATCTGTTAAATCCCAAGGATAACGACTTAAGAAAAAAAAAAATTAGAATTTAAGATTGAGATGTACTTAAATGGAATTGAAACGCAAAATTTGTCACAATACCAAACCATAGTTTCACTAAACTAAGTAAAATAAAAATGAGAAACATGTCACACAAATCGTATTGGATTTCAATATATATATATATATATATATATATATATATATATATATATATATATATATATATATAATTCTACAGTTATTTCATGACGAGATTTGTAAGCACGTCTCAATTTGTGAATTGTTTATAAAGATTTTTTTGGAAATATATTCAGGTCGATGAAACTTTATGAGAAAAAGTGTTTAATATAAGTTAGAAGAAAATGAGATGCATGTAAATAAAAGCTTGCACAAAACATGATTGCTAAAAGTAGAATGTTATTTTAAGTTTTTGTAAAAGTAGGATGTTATTTTTAATATGTACAATTAGGAATTAGTGTGTTACATTGGTTCATTAGATTTCAGAACCTATCTCTTCCTTGTTTGCTAACCCGGTATTTTAATATTTTATGATTACACGATAAATAAATTAACCAATATAAGAAATAACAAGTGAGTCGTAGAAATTAATCACAACAAACTATAAACATTAACCATTAAAATAGTAAAAATTAAGATATGGTGCATCATAAGCATGAATATACTTTCTAGTGCAAGAGTGTTTGTGTTAGTGGGTAATTATATATATATTTTGGAAAAATTCTTTATTAGTTATGACACTGATGAAAGCTTCACATATTAGAAAATAAATAAATTAGAAAACAAAGCTAGAATGATAATGAAGTTCCAAATTAGAAAACTATATAAAAAATGTATTATTAGTTGTAATCAAAACTAACCTCATCTAATGGATGCATGACATGAAGGGTATTGTCTTGATCTCATCTTTTGTGAACAATAAAACCATCTTTCTTGCAAATAGATCCTATAAACAACATTCAAAAATTAAACTAATAAATAAAAAATACTTCAAAAATATATTAAATGAAAAAAATTATCATGTTAGGTCATAGAAGGAAAATGGCTTCATTAATTTGCAATTATGTGATCGTACAACAGAATATATATATATATATATATATATATATATATATATATATATATATATATATAACCTCAAATTTATTTGAGTGGGCCAAGGTCCACCCTTGTACTAATGTGGCTACGCCACTGTTTCCAAAGGCTAGTGGTTTGGTAGTGAGCCTGTAAAGGAGCTGATATGATGGTGAGTTGACAACATTTTTCAAGTAGATTGGTGGTGATCATACTCATTAGCCTAACATGTTGCCCACAACTAAGGCGAAACGGAATGGCGACACATTCCTACACGCGGGATGAGTTGGACAAACAAGTCACACATGAATTTATTACAAATACCACCACCAATATATGTAATTGTGAAGGTCCGTTAATGCAGCTACGAGAGGCCACAAATTTTCTTTTCTCATCCCTTTGTATCTCTCTCTCTTCCTATCTCTCTTCCTCCCTTTCTTCCTGTTGACAAACGCTATTTCTCAGCCCTAGTGAGTATGTAGTGAAAATTAATTTAGCTGGTGTGGATGTTGCTACGCAAGCTAAGGTGAAGATGCACTCCGTATAGTCTAATAGACTAAATGATCAATAAAGTCATAAATCATTTTCGAAAATATTCATTGGTTTTCATACCACTTTACAGATAAAGTAATTTGAAAATTTCAATCCTGTAAATTTTGATAAAGTAATATTAAAATTTCAAACGGGTTTAGGTATTCCACCACCCCCTTCCTATTTTTTATCCCCTCCCTTGTTGATTGGATGTTGTGTGTGTATGTGTATATATATATATATATATATATATATATATATATATATATATATATATATATAAATAATATTTTAAAAGCCCGGATGAAATATGACAGAAGCTTTCAATGTTGTTTCTGAATCGATAAATATAATAGACGTAGAAAGTGCAAGGATGAAAAACTTGAGTTTTGCTCCGGACCGTTTTTTTTCTCGAGTTTTTATGAAAAAATATAAAAGTTTTGGCTGGAATGATCAGAAGTGTCAAAACGGATAAAGAATTAAAGGGGTAGGAATTAGCAAATTTTTAGAAAACGGATCAAAGTTGTCAAATCGTTAAAGTTTTGTGGCCAAACTTTAAATATTAAAAGGTTCCTAAAATTGTAAAAATATTGATTGCAAGGACCAAAAATGTCAAAAAAAGTATAAAAAAAAAGAAACAAAGTGCAGGGACCAATTCTACCAAGAAAAATAGTAACTTTACTATTCTTAATATTCATATCTTTAGTATATATATATATATATATATATATATATATATATATATATATATATATTCATTAAAACTAGAACGATAATAACTATTATACATATTTAGTTTTAAAAACTGAAACGTTATAAATATTTAGTCATTCTATATGTAGGGTAACTCATTCTGTTGCACATAGACATTTGTAATGAATTCATTGTGGTGTACGCAGTGTTCTAAAAGGCGCGCCATGACGTGAGGCGTGACTTCGCCGTTACGAAAAGCTTCATAACGTTGATGTTAGGCGTGACGCGTGGCAAAGTGTGATATGGCGCGCCATGGCGCGTTATGGCGTGTTATGGCACATGTTTTTTCGTTTGAGACACAATTTTTTGCTCTTTGTTATGTTTTTTCAAATCGGAAATACAAGTATTGTGGTTTTTGTTAACTTTTTATTATTAGTTGTTGATCTAACACTTCTAAAAAGTAGTTATATTTAATATAAACTAGATAAGAAGCCCCGCTTCGCGGTGGTTGGATTCGACGCTAATATTAAACAAAACCGATGGAAGACATTATGTTAAACGTTTGTCATGGAAGTAGAATGCTATAATTGGTTGACTATGAAAGTATATTGATGCTTAAAAAATGTAGTAAAGTAGAAGCAAAGTGAGATATATTCTCTTTTTAAAACACATATGTTGGGTACAAAATTACTTAAACCAAAGTTAGTCAAAGGCAACACCAGTCCAACTGCTTCCTCTCGAATAAGCTCTTGCGGCTTTGAGATCCCTTAAGTGATGATTTTGTAAAAATTTACAAATAGAAAAATTATAAATGGGTTTCAAATACTTATTATTTTTTAGGATTGACCAAAATGCCCTTTGCTAAAAATAATACATAATGATAACAAAGTTTTGATTAAATTGTATATACTTAACCTCTCCCACAAGATCATCTTCAGAACGGTCCGAGAAATTAAAAATGACGACTATGCCCCTGAAATGTTTTGAATAAAAATCATTGGCATCAATAAGCAATTTTATGAATTAAATATTGATAACAAAGATAAGGGTAACTAAACTAAAATCAGGCAAAATGGCAAGCAGTTTTGTTAATTCAAGTTGAAAGTTGGATAAATAAGATAACAAACTTTCAAATTGATAAACAGAAAAAAACCCAGCAGATTTGAGAAATTAAAATGACGGTTATGCCCCTTTAATGTGTTGAATAAAAATCATTGGCATCAATAAGCAATTTTCTGAATTAAAACTGATAGTTGGATAAATAAGATAACAAACTTTCAAATTGATAAACAGAAAAAAAAAACCAGCAGATTTGAGAAATTAAAATGACGGTTATGCCCCTTTAATGTGTTGAATAAAAATCATTGGCATCAATGAAGTTACAGGTTAGAATTTCCGCTAAAAATACATAACATTCAATCAGATTAACAATGCTTGAATAAATCCGAATTGAAAGAGAAGCACAATTACACCATAAATAGTTTTATAGCAATGTACTATAAACATGCAAAAGAGGTGAGAAAATTTAAGCATACCTAATCGCAGAATGTAAGCCAACTTCGCTGTGATTTTTCTTGTGCTCCTGTTGCTCTTCATTATATGTGAGTGAAAGGATGAAGGGAATTGTGAAGTAATCAAAATATTTAACGAAGCTATATATATATATATATATATATATATATATATATATATATATATATATATATATGTATATATATATATATATATATATATATATATAACCTTAATATCAACAATTTAACTATTAACGTATAAAAGGTTCATAGATTTTCTTATGACATTATTTCAACTTTGTTTTTGCGTTCAAAGTGTAGGATTCCAGTCACATTGTGGATTTATGCATGAAGATTTCTCCACAAATTGTATTCAAGGGTAATTTGGTGATTTGCCCCTGCCTTGGATACCATACAGTAACAGGTTATGTACATCCTGGTACAATTATAAACATTAAATGATCCAAGACTAAGCAGCAACCTGCAAATAGGCTATAAATTCTGATGAAGTAACTGATTTTCCATCATGTGCTTTAGATGAAACCCATTCGAATGCTTTCTCCTGCAACGTCAAAAAAATCTTTGGTTTTATTTCATGGACCTTAAATTTCATGATTCTGTAACAAATCTTGATGTTATTTAGCAAAAGAAAAGTGGGATTTAGAATTTCAAGTGTTCAAGATAAAGATCTACTGTGACACAAAAGGATCAAGAAAGAAATGAACCAACTTGAAAGAAATTATGCTAAAATTGTAAAGAATTTGATAACATGGGAGCCTGGAAATTTAGCAACTTTGATTCAAATAGTCATAAACATGAACTAAATTTTCAAGCAGCTGATGGGTATTCTGCAATCGATGTACTCTGGAAAAATTCATCTAATGAAAAGTAGCATATCAAAATCAAAATATGCGAGACGAATTATCCCCAACTTAGAAAAATAACCATATCAGATCCCACGAATTTGAAGTAAACAATAGGTAATTGCATCAATCTAAGTAAAAAACAACAGGAGTTGAAATTAGGGTTTACCGATTCTCACAAGTGAATGTCTTCGACCATACCCAATACCACCCCTAGCACTCGATATCAAGCACCAGTGACCACCTACATAAATGTCCAATATTCAGCCCTGTTCACGTACGCAAAGGCCAAGAAACCCCACCACCATAGCCGATACCCTCAAAGTAAAAGAAAAATTACCTTCAAGTCGTTCTGAATCAGCCACGAAGAAAGAGTTATATTCGGCGACCGGTAGGGAGAGGAGAGGATGGGATAAAAGCCCTAAGTTCAGATAACAGATAAAGATGGAAGCAAAACCAGGCACGATGAACAACACGTGGACAGAGAATAGAATATTTTCCACAAACGTCGACGCCGGTCGTGCGTACGACACCGCCGTTTTCAACCTACGTGGCCCATCGACACGTCTTAGTATCCCTGATTCAATCGGAGACGACGGTGATCTACAGGACCTCTCCTCCGATTCGATTAGAAAGAAGGCCACAGAGGCCGGAGGTATGGTCGAAGACGTATGTGTAGGTGGTAGAGAAGACATCCGATAAGAGAGGCGGTGGGGGAAGCATGAGGAATAAAAATGAAAGCGGTGGAAGGAACTGGTGGTGTAATAAAGAACGAAGCAAGTCGTTTGGATGGTAGGCGGTGACCATGGCTGAGGCAGTAACAACGAAGAACCAAAAAGAAACAGCGGTGGACAACGAACCCAAAAGAAAGAGAGAAGAAGAACACGTGGACAATAAACACGTAGATGCAAGTCAGCATTCTACATTAACAAAAAGGCTTAACAGATAAAATACACGAATGACAAACAAACAGAAGTAAGGGGGGGGGGGGGGAGGGGGGTAAACAACAATTTCATAAGGAACGAATGAAATAGATAACATAAAAATTGGAAGGGCCATATATGCACAAATAGGAGGCAGAATATTGTAGCTAAGGAGCAACAATTTTAATATATAGTATAATTTATATTTATGTGGTAATATAATTTTAAATTAATACAAAATCGTCGCCTTACATCACGCTTTGAAAAACGTCATTGCTCGCCGTTGCTCGTTAAGCTTGAGGCTTGGCCTTACCGCCACGCCACACTTCACGCCATTTAGAACCTTGGCTGTACGTGTAATTGATATTTCTTTCTTCATGCGTAAAAAATGATAGAATTTTTTTTTTAATTTGTAAAAATTAGAAACGAAGTAATGTTTTATTATTTTAAATTGCAAGTTATAAAAAAAGTGATGAATTATTTTTTAAATTTTATAAAAGTTATAAATTAAGTGATATGTTGTTCTTTTAAATTGAAAATTATAAAAAAAATGATATAATTATTTTTCGAAATTTGTAAAGAGACCATAAATCTAATGTGTTATAAAAGAATAATGAAATCATTGTTAATAATTATAAATAAATTGAAAAACTCCAAAAGTAAAGGATCATAAATATAAAATAGAGAGTTTGTAGGTAAAAAAAAAATAATAAATAAATAAATAAAATAAAATAAAATAAGAGGCGAGTGAGGAATGAATAAAAAAACGCGTCTGACCCTTTACCTTTTTATATGTAAAATATAGGGTTATAGGGGGGTTGTATAAAAGGACCCACCTCTAATTTTTTTGAAAATTATTGTTAAATATCGATATCTTTTTAAACGTTAATTAGTATGTGAGAATTTTTACTTTAGTTGGTCATTGAGGTTCTTTACCTTTTTATATGTAAAATATAGGGTTATAGGGGGGTTGTATAAAAGGACCCACCTCTAATTTTTTTGAAAATTATTGTTAAATATCGATATCTTTTTAAACGTTGATTAGTATGTGAGAATTTTTACTTTAGTTGGTCATTGAGGTTAAAAGATCTATATTTTATATAGGTTAGTCCACCTTGCAACCCAAAACTTTAATAATGAAATACAATTTGTAATTACTTTTATTATTGTTGCTCGTTGCTAGTTTATTAAAAAAAATCAATAATAAAAAACCAAATATCGAAGAAAGCCATCAAACTTGCAATTGTGTCCATTCACGTTAAATTCATGAAAAACATCATTGAAATATACCAAATAAAAACGAAATCTGACTTTTGGTTCATTATTAATAGTGAAAAAAATACTTTTAAAAACTAACCTAAAGCTCAATGGTTTGATTTTCAAACTTACAAATATTGCCTTTAAGGCTTTAACCCACCCTTACCATCGCATCCTTGCCCAGTCGCATCATGTCCAATTGTGATTGTTTTGGTTTTATGTTTTCTTCGTTTGGTCTTCAATTAAGTTTTTCATTTTTTCTTAAAGTATTTAAATGGGTAAACAAATACAAAGAATGACATTTTTGTTAGTTTTGATAGTATGTATGAACACAATTACATTTCTAATGATTTTGTTATATTTATTTTTATTGTTGAAAACTTGAAATGTATCGCTTTTATAGTTAACAGTCAAACCAACTATTGATATCTCAGGTAGAGCCATTTGATTTGACTTTTGAGGCTCGCTATTATCCATTTGATGGACTTTGGTTAGTCTCAAATCAAAAGTCCCACAGGCCACACCCATGCCCAAATCAACTTCACATTCTGGCCACGTGGCTAACCCAAATTTAACAGAGTATGAGGTTGACCTCTTATCAATCTATTTCTTAGGTCCCAATTGTTTCTTTCATTACGGATAATAAATGGAACACTCCCAAAGGTCTTTTTCAATAAAAAAAAAAAAATTATAAATCTAATATTTTTATAAACTACTTCTTATACCATCTATGTTTCGGACAAAACTTGAACCCGACCTCAATAAAGAAGGACAATATGTTGGGGTGCAAAACTCTCCATTGGATGATGATGTAGAAGACTTCTCCGTATTCGATATAGAAGGCCTTAGAGAAGGTAGAAGGTCTTAGAGAATATGGAAGGCTTCTCATGTAGAAGGCCTTATGTCATATGGGTTGTGCTTCATATATATACTAGTTTAATATATTTTGTAGGTAGAGAGAGAACTCTCATATTTTGTATAGATGAGTAGTTTAGATTTAGAGAGAGAAAGAGTATTGTATACAAGCATGCACATGCTTATACAAATTTTGTACTACTTCATTATCTATACACTTGTGCTTAAACGTTAATTTATGTCTTTTCGATTATGCATTTTTTAATTCTGCAATTGTTATTTCCATGAGATCTTATATGTGGTATCAGAGCTTAATATTAGAGTTTAAGCAACTATCTTAATAACAATGATCCTAGATGACAACATTTTTGTGTAATCGATAAAACATTCAAAATCTTTGGTGAGTCTCTCCATTGGATCTATTTTCTATTCATATCCAATTTGTTGATCCATTTTAATTCTATTGATTTATCCCAAAATCTGTTTCGTTGATCTTATCACTATTTATCCAATCCCAAAATCTACTTATTGTTCATAAACGCTTTGCGTCCAATCTACTCGTGGAGTTCCCATGAATCACAAAATTGTGAAATCGTGATCCAACTCGTCGAGTTTTCCTCCAACTCACCGAGTTCCTCCCTCTCAATAGAAACGGGACTTTCCCAATATAACTCGTCGAATTCCCTTGTGGACTCGTTGAGTTCCTTCAACAGAATCAGGAACATTCCAAACCAACTCGCTGAGTTCCCTTATGGACTCGTCGAGTTCATCCGTCTGTCAACCCTTCTTAATGCATTAAGCCCTTATTCATTAGATGTACACCCTAAACTCCGGATTCAAACTGGAAATACGCTTAAAAGGGTAAAGTTTGCAACTTTACCAATTAAGGTCCTCTCCCAACGCAAAAAACTCAAACCCTAACTCAAAATGGCTTAGATCCAACTCCAAAAGCCATCAAAACTTCAAGTTAGACCATGAGATCATAGATCTGGACTCAAGGGACAAAATGATTACGTAAAGTTTTCAACTTTATCCACATGCATGGCCATAGAAGCTTCAAAAGACCAAAATGATGGTTTAAAGGTGACATGGGGCTTCCATGGCCATAAAGTTGGCACCTTTATGCCATGAAAACCCCTCAAGACCCTAGATCTAAAGTATTCACCTTTTGGGACGTCCAAATCCCTTGGAATCATGTCATTTGGACCAAAACGAGCAAAATAACCCCAAAAGGAGATCTTAGCAACTACAAGGAAAGGTTTAAGCTTTATACCAGCACAATGTTGTGGATGAGGTAAGGATTCTGGTTCTATATGCTCCTTCTTGTGTTTCTAAGCTCTTCCTTCTTCCAATAACTTCAAATACACACCAAAACACTCAAAATAGCTCACAAACACTCAAATGGATTTAGGGTTTTCGAGATTTAGGGTTTGGGACTTGGAGGCTGGAAATGAGGCCAACATGAAAGGTTTAAGACATTTAAATGGGGTGCAAACCCCGAAAATTAGGGTTTCATATCCGCCACCCTACTCGTCGAGTTGAGGCGTCCCAACTCGTCGAGTAGGTTACTTAAATTACACGCCCCTTATGATCTCTACTCGACGAGTTTGGGGCTCCCAACTTGTCGAGTTGCTCTATTATATGGAATTAGTTTAAATTTAATACATACCAAGAACCAGACATTATAATTTCCCCCTACTTGTCTCAGACTTTGTCCTCGAAGTCTGTTGCTGGAATAACTCTGGATAATGCTCTCTCATCTCCTTATCGGGCTTCCAAGTCCACTCTGACCCCGTGTGCTGCATCCACTTCACCTTCACTAACTGTACAACCTTGTTCCTCAATGTTTTCATCTTTTGATCCAAAATCACCACTGGCCTCTCAATGTAGTTTAGTCGGTCGTCTACCTGGATATCACCCAAAGGCACAACTGCATAATCATTCACTAAGCACTTCCGCAGCTGGGAGACATGAAAAGTATTATGGATCTGACTAAGCTCCGTTGGCAGATCCAACCGATACGCAACCCGTCCCACCCAAGCCAAAACCCTGAACGGACTAATGTACCTCGGGTCCAGCTTACCCCACTTCCTGAACCGGATGACACCTTTCCAAGGTGACACCATCAGGAGAACCATATCCCCTACCTGGAACCCTTGGTCTGATCGGTGCTTGTAGGAATAGCCTTTCTACTGACTCTGAGCAGTCTGGAGCCTGCTCCGGACCTGTTGGATCTTCTCTGTGGTCATGAGTACCACCTTTGTACTACCCATGACTCTCTGACCAACCTCACCCCAACAGATTTGGGTCCTACACTTTCTCTTGTAGAGTATATTAAAGAGAGGTTGACCTATGCTGGCGTGATAACTGTTGTTATACGAAAATTCTGCTAACGGATGATACGTATCCCAACTGCCGCCAAAATCCAATACATATGCGTGTAGCATATCCTCGAGAGTTTGGATCGTCCTCTCACTCTGCCCATCAGTCTGAGGGTGAAAAGATGTGCTGAAGTGAGAATGAGTACCCATCTTATCATGAAACCGCTTCCAAAACCTAGAAGTGAAATGAACATCTCGGTCTGTTACAACCGACACCGGAACTCCATGATGTGCCACCACCTTGTGTACATAGATCCCGACTTGCTTTTTAGCCGATAT